CATAATTAGAATACATTACAAACAACTATTGTTTATATTAAAATATTTACCAAGGTCAAATTAGTTTGGTTGTAGCTGTAGAGTATAACAGCAAAATTGTCTAATATTCATGTAATATACAGTTTTAGTTTGGTTGTAGCTGTAGAGTATAACAGCAAAATTGACTAATATTCATGTAATATACAGCTTTAGTTTGGTTGTAGCTGTAGAGTATAACAGCAAAATTGACTAATATTCATGTAATATATAATTTTAGTTTGGTTGTAACTGTAGAGTATAACAGCAAAATTGACTAATATTCATGTAATATACAGTTTTAGTTTGGTTGTAGCTGTAGAGTATAACAGCAAAATTGACTAATATTCATGTAATATATAATTTTAGTTTGGTTGTAGCTGTAGAGTATAACAGCAAAATTGACTAATATTCATGTAATATACAATTTTAGTTTGGTTATAGCTGTAGAGTATAACAGCAAAATTGACTAATATTCATGTAATATATAATTTTAGTTTGGTTGTAACTGTAGAGTATAACATCAAAATTGACTAATATTCATGTAATATACAATTTTAGTTTGGTTGTAGCTGTAGAGTATAACAGCAAAATTTTCTAATATTCATGTAATATACAGTTTTAGTTTGGTTATAGCTGTAGAGTATAACAGCAAAATTGACTAATATTCATGTAATATACAGTTTTAGTTTGGTTGTAGCTGTAGAGTATAACAGCAAAATTGACTAATATTCATGTAATATACAGTTTTAGTTTGGTTGTAGCTGTAGAGTACAACAGCAAAATTGACTAATATTCATGTAATATACAGTTTTAGTTTGGTTGTAGCTGTAGAGTATAACAGCAAAATTGACTAATATTCATGTAATATACAGTTTTAGTTTGGTTATAGCTGTAGAGTATAACAGCAAAATTGACTAATATTCATGTAATATACAGTTTTAGTTTGGTTATAGCTGTAGAGTATAACAGCAAAATTGACTAATATTCATGTAATATACAGTTTTAGTTTGGTTGTAGCTGTAGAGTATAACAGCAAAATTGTCTAATATTCGTGTAATATACAGTTTTAGTTTGGTTGTAGCTGTAGAGTATAACAGCAAAATTGTCTAAGATTTATATGATATATAAATAGGACAATAAACTGCCAACAAGCAGCTAGTCTACAAAAGAATAAAGTTGTATTCTAGACACCTGATACCACTTTTCATCATGAAATACTTCCTCATTTAAATTCTGTTTACCAAAATATTGTCCAAAGTGTAACAAAATCGGGAGCAATAATTGTATTGTAGTGGACTCCTCAAATGAGAAGTACCATCAGGTGTTTCTAAAATAGATAGCATGGTCTGCTTTGCCTGCGACACCAGCCACTACTTTCGAGACTTCTTCATTAGCTCCAAAGTTCTTTAGCTTCTACCAATGTATAGCCAAATTGTTATTTTTGATTTCATATTTTTGTATGTTTGTAAAACCCACAACTACGTAATACAAAGAAGGTTGTGAAAAAAAAATGAAGAAAATCTAAAATTTCTCTTGCCCTTAAAGACGTATCCATAATTTTTTTTGCCCATGAAAATAAAAGATTTTACCAGTTTTGGCAATATATTCTGGTCAAAACAAGTCATTATATTATCATTTGAAAATTTGCTGTAAGATCTCAAATGAAATAACTTCGTACATTACCCTGATGAAAACAGGAAATAACAACTTAGACTTTAGACTCTAATTACAAGAAATGCACCCACAAGTCTTGCTAGGCTCTTGAACCTAAGTCCAGAAACTTAATGTTGGAGTCTCACTAAAGTACACTAACCTGAAGGTCCAGGGTTCATTCCCAGCATAGGTCGAGATCATACTTTGAGATTTTTCAATCTGATTTCCCCCTGTCAGTGATACAGGTTAATGGGCTGACTTGGAAAAAATGTCTAGTCGTTCGGTTGTGACAATAAACCGAGGCCCTGTGTGCTACAGGCTATGCACGTTAAAGATCCCTCGACAGTTGGAAATAGAAAAATAGAAGGCTTATGCCGTTGTTCTTTTAAAATTTTCCTCGTTGCACACTGCATTGTGTGGCCTTATTTCATTAGCTCAATTACATGCATAAGTGTAGGATGTAAAACTCCATTCATTTCATTTCATTGTCACTAGAGAATAGTAGATGAGATTCAATAAATAAACCAAGTACTAACGACCCACTGCAGTGACCAATGAGAGAATTTTTAACAGGACAACAACATTAACTGAGAAACTTGACCCCAGTGTAGATAGTTCAGAGGTCAAGTAGGGACATGTCAAAGGTTATGTTAAGAGAGGTCAATTTAATCAACTTTATTGCTGGCTATTTATCAGGAACCATTGTCAATAAGTCTGGGAGTCTTTGATTAATTGCCTCTTTGCTGATTATAGATTCTTTGGAATCCTTCCTGGAATTAGTTCCATCTTACAAGAATTTATCCTGGTTTCTTGCAGTTTCTATACTATTGTAGGAATTGAAAAATTAAAAACATTTTGAAAAAAAACCCAAAAAGCTTGTCAAAAGAAAAAAGGAGAGCATGTCAAAACAAAACAAAAACATGTCAAAAAAATATATGTGGCAAAAACTGGCATGTTTTGATTTATTTGATTGACATGTTTTGACTTATTTGATTGACATGTTTTAACTTATTTGATTGACATGTTTTGACTTATTTGATTGACATGTTTTGACTTATTTGATTGACATGTTTTAACTTATTTGATTGACATGTTTTGACTTATTTGATTGACATGTTTTGACTTATTTGATTGACATGTTTTGACTTATTTGATGGACATGTTTTGACTTATTTGATGGACATGTTTTGACTTATTTGATGGACATGTTTTGACTTATTTGATTGACATGTTTTGACTTATTTGATTGACATGTTTTGACTTATTTGATTGACATGTTTTGACTTATTTGATTGACATGTTTTGACTTATTTGATTGACACGTTTTGACTTATTTGATGGACATGTTTTGACTTATTTGATGGACACGTTTTGATTTATGTTATTGACATATTTTGAAAAGAAAACTAACCAAAACATGTCAGAAGAAGAAAAAATAAACAAATTCAATCCACAATTTCTGTCCCAGTTTTTAATCATTTTATCTGTTTACGAATATGTTCAGAATTAATTCAGGAAATATTTTGTTTTGTGTTTTGCAGAAAGAGAATCATTATATTCCATATACCTTAGAGCAAGTCCGACATATAGCCTATCAACTATGTTACTCTGTCAACTGTAAGTATATACACCTATATTACCAAATATTTTCACTGTTAAAGGGACAGTTGCACCATTTTTTGTCCGATCGTACCTTAGTCTCAGAAACAGGAATTTTTTAGCTAAGCCAATCAGTAATAGTGTTCACAGCTCACTGTTGAAATTTGAGTCTTCAATTCCATGTGTGTTCAGAATTATCCACGTTTGAAAGTTAAAATGACGAGTCGTCTTTTCTTGAGACTCTGTGATATATAGAAAAGACATCTATAGAAATAGTGAGTAAAATTCCTAGTTTGAGATATTTTTAAAGGAATTATGAGATTTTCGTACATTTCTAGTACTTCTGAAGACTATTTATATATATTCAAGACTCAAATCAACTACTCAAAATGGCGAATCTGTTCCTATCCTTTTCATCCAAGGTTAAAAAATGATTTTTTGATCCAGAGCACTATCAGTATCACTATTCATAATGAAAATCTGACACCTAGTTTGTCTTCAATAAATGTAAAACATTCTATGTGGTTTTTGTTTCAGTTTTACATGAGAATCAGCTAACTCACACTGATCTGAAACCAGAAAATATTTTATTTGTCGACTCAGAATTTACGTCAGTTTATAATCCTAAAAAGGTACGTCTGCTTTTTATACGCCCATATACGGTCGTATATTGTCTTCACCCCCTGTCCATCCGTCGGTCAGTCTGTCGTCCGTCCGTCCTATTGTAAACGCAATAGAGACAACAGTTTTTATCTGATTTGAATTAAATTTGGTTTGATCATTTATATTAATGAGATCTTGGACAAGTTCGAATTTGACGATCTTTCGATGAACGGTTTTTGAGTAATTGCCCTTGACTTAGTTAAAAACGCTTCAAAATTTGTTGGCTTGTTAACGCGATAGAGGTGATAGTTTATGTCAGAATTTTATTAAATAATGTGTGTTTGTTTAAATCAACAATATCTTGCACAAATTAGATTTTTGACACAGATAGGTGACTGCCCTGGATATACTGAAAATGTATCAGGAGAGCGTATCTTGCTAGGCAACCACTTGTTTGAATTTTACACTGCAATGTGTACCAATTGACCAATCAAGAGTGTCCTTCTATCAAGTCATAGACCTTATTCACGCCTCGTTTTTGAGATACTGAAAGCGAGGTTCATAGCGAAAATGACGTCATCCATTGATAAGATGATGATGACATATGAATGAATAGCCAATTTGACGTCACTAAACACCCGATCAACAGTGAGAAAATGGGATTAAATCTGCCCTTTCTCAGAAATACGTGACGTAAAACTTCATCTGAAAGTATCATTAAATAGCTGAATTAATTCTGATTTTAATGATGTCAAATATGATTAGTTTTGAGTTACTAGGACTGGAGAAGGAGGCTTTAAAGACGTCAAGATGGCGATTTTTCTGCAGTGACACATCGTGACCTTTGTTTGTGTTTATTAGCCAATTTTCCTTTATTGCCCACTACAAAGCATAGGGTGGTGCGATATTTGGACATGTCTTGTACTTCTGAAGACTATTTTTAGATGCAAAAAACAAAAAATAATGTGCAAATTTCTGTAAAGTTTTTGATTTCGTTTCGTTTAGTTTCATTTCGTTTCGTGTGTTTCAGAGAAGAGATGAGAAGACGATAAAGAACACAGAAATCAGATTGATTGATTTCGGTTCAGCAACTTTTGATCATGAACATCATAGTACCATAGTCTCCACACGGCATTACAGGGCACCAGAGGTTATTTTAGGTAGGTATTGTAATGCTCATGTAGCCCAAACCGCCTTGTATGGTAAATCAGTCTGCTATGTTTTGTGAGGTGAAGACACTTAGAGCTTCTATTGGCACCATTTTGATTGATCTAGGCATATGTTGAAAGGGTACCTTTGGATTATTCAACCCAGTTTCCTCCTATCAGAGAGGCTGACATTGAAAAAGCAGATAACTGATTGGATGAGACACTGATAGCATCAATTTACACCATTCCAATTTTCAATCAGACGTCTGTGGTTCCTGCAATTCCATTAAAAATAACTGTTTGATGACGTCTCATTCGCAAAATATGCTTTATCACGTAAGGGCCTTTGTGATTAGTGACGTCATCAAACACTTAGTTTTAGTGGAATTGCAGAAACCACAGACATCTGACTGAATTTTCAATCAGACGTCTGTGGTTCCTGCAATTCTACTAAGACTATGTGTTTGATGATGATGACCCTTCGCGATAAGTGACGTCATCTAACACTTAGTTTTAGTGGAATTGCAGGAACCACAGACGTCTGATTGAAAATTAGAATGGTGTAAATTGATGCTATCAGTGTCCCTGATACACATAAAAAATTTAGAAAACCTCTTTACAATCCCTTTAATGCAATTGTCAACATATTTTCAGCACTTCCTTAAAGATAGATACCCCCTGTTTTAAATCTAATTTTTATTCTGTTGACAGAATTAGGTTGGTCTCAGCCGTGTGATGTATGGAGTATAGGAACCATCATGTTTGAACTATATACTGGATTCACACTTTTCCAGGTCAGTCAAGTGAGGACCTCCATCTTTAACTAGATGTCTGCTCCGCTACAGTTTTTTTCTAATTTGTTAAAGATGGGTTTCCTTATTTTTTAGTGTCCAATAAAGCAAACTATTTGATTAATTGGTGTTTCTAATGAATTATCATGTATTCTTAATCATATCATTATGTTCTTATTGCATATAATTAAGAGTTTTAACCAATCATAAATGTCCATGTATGTACAGTCTGGATAAACAAAAAAGACTTTTTGACCTTTCTTGATCGGTCACTCATTGGAATTCTGCTGGTAATTCTCTTCTAATTTAGCTAATTATGAATTAATTATAGACATGTGAGACAAACTGGTATTTTTCCAAGTCATTAGAACATCTCTACTTTCTATTCATATAAGTATTAGCATTTTCATTTTCATAAATGAAACAAGGGAACCCATCTTTAATGCTTTCGCAGTTACTAATGTTATTTGTATCATGACTGTTCAAAATAATTTTTTATATTTTGAGCCTCATGTCCGTTGGTCATTCCATTAATTTCTAGTGAACACTCTAGAGGCTTGAATAATGACCAGATTTGAACAAAACTTGGTTTGATTTTTTTATGCTTATCAAATCTTCAAGGGAGATGTACGTTATGGATCGTTAGTACTTGGTTTATTTATTTATTCCTTGAAAGTTGGGGAACTAAAAAGAGTGGCCAATGCCATAATCAAAATTTATAATGTTGAGAAACCAATCTCCAAGTGACATCATGTGTTTTGATTTCAGACTCACGATAATAAAGAACATCTAGCCATGATGGAAAGAATATTGGGGTCCATCCCTTACAGATTAGCGAAAAAATCAAAGTGAGTATACCCATTACTGTTTCATATATCATGATCTGTCAAGGGTGTTCGAGTCAGATAATTTGTAGCCCTTGATCACACAAGTCCATTGTTCTTATTCTGATTGGTAGTGGATTTAATTGACCAATTAAATTCATTGAAACAAAATAAGGCAAAGATGATTCTCAAAATTAAGGAACGTTTTTGCAATGTTCATGGGCTATTTTATTGGTTGGCTTTTGATATTTCCCCCAAAATATTCGTCTTACAAAAGTTCAAGTCAGAGATAAATCTTTTACAAAGATCTGATTGGTTACAGGGATTGTAAAGAGGTTTCCTAATTTTTTTATGTGTATCAGGGACGCTGACAGCATCAATTTACATCATTCTAATTTTCAATCAGACGTCTGTGGTTCTTGCAATTCCACTAAAACTAAGTGTTTGATGACGTCACTAATCACAAAATATGCTTTATCACATCAGGCCCTTCGTGATTAGTGACGTCATCAAACACTTAGTTTTAATGGAATTGCAGGAACCACAGACATCTGATTGAAAAGTGGAATGGTGTAAATTGATGCTATCAGTGTTCCAGATACACATAAAAAATTTAGAAAACCTCTTTACAATCCCTTTAATAAGACAGAAGTTTGAAAATAGACCAATCAGAATCCAGTATTTGATTTTTATCTTCTAAGGTTTCAAAAGTGTTTTCTAGTCTTGGTATGTGCATCAGGGACACTTATAGCTTCTATTTACGTAACTTGACTTAAAAAGTGGTGCCGATGGCAACGTCATTTTGTCAAGTTTCTTTGAAATTATAAGATGGACAGTTTGGAATGGTGCCATTGGAAGCTATAATTGTCAAAGACACACGTAAAAAGGCTAGAAAGCATTTCCTGCAAGTTGTGGCAGAGCCTTCTGTTTGGAATTCGGCCGAACTTTGACATCAAGTCCAAAAATCCAAATGTGTTTTATTTTTCTCAAGAACTAATTTTTTCTGGCACGGCCGTCTGGACTGGGATCCTACCACTTCTGCTGGACGTTACGTCCGCGAAAATTGCAAACCACTTTATGTAAGTATAGGGAGCACGATTTAACGCATTACTTCCTGTTACTAGAGAGCTTGATTCAAGGGAGAGAACTCTGCTTGGCTTACTACTGCTGGCATCCACTATTGACCATACTTGTTATGTTTTTGGTATTAATGGCAATACTTGTGTTGTTTTTATTTAACAAAATTTCTATTTGAAACTCCATTTTGTTTTTGTGAAAATCGTGTTTTTTGATGGTTTTCTCAAAACTTAACTTGAAAACAAAATCTGTAACAGCTTTTGTTTTTTTAAAAACTTACCAAATTGCTTATAGTTGTCTAAATTTTTGTTTCAATTTGGGCCATGTGTGTCACTTTTTAGAATGTTTTTTCAACTTTATGTTTGTCTACATTTTGATAAAACTCACAGATGCAATTGGTAGTTAATGCATTTAAGTTTTCAGGCCAAGTCTAAAAAAATGCCTGGAAATTTAAATGTAGTAACTTTCACAGATGTGCCTTTATCGTAGACAAATGTGATACAAGACTCTCATTTTGAAAAGTGATTCAGATACATGACATCATTTGCTTGTTTATGTCGAAGAAATGGTGGTCGAAGGTTCTAATCTGGGTCAGTTGTGAAAGTCATTATTACAGTCAACCCTGGAAAGATCAATGCCAAGACGTTTGACAAGGACCAGCTGGTAGAAAGGATCCTCGTGAACCTAAGTTGTTATCTTTGTAAAATAGTTGGTTGACCAAGGATCATCTGGTAGATAAGATCCTTGTGAACCTAAGTTATTATCCTTGTAAAAAATCATTCCTTCTTTCATTTAGGAAAGTAAAAAATTTAGACAAATATATCCCCTTTAAAGCCTGTCAGAAATATCTGGCGCCATTTGCAGACTTGGTGCCATGTAACCCCAGCAGATGGTCTCTTCCCTATGAAAGCTATTTAGTATGGCGGTTGATTTGTAGTGCTGTACTAACTCGGTGTTTTTGTAATCGTGCATTGTTCCCTATATTGCATGTATTATTTATTATTTCTATATTTGTACTGTCAAACTTGCCGAAAAATCTGAAAAACTCTAAATTAGACCAAACTTTCGTGCCGTTCTTTTATCAGCTTTTATTTCTAATATAGCCACTTCGGTTAGGGTCTAACGAAAGCCCTCTTGAATGTTTGTCAAATTTACCTTTTGACCTTATTCGATGATGTCTGCTTTAACTTATCAATTTCTACCCTCTCCAGTGCTGGCATTTTGTGACATGTTTATCAGGTCAGGTCAAAAGGTTAAGTTGATAAATATTCAAGAGGGCTGTCGTTAGACCCTAACTGAAGTGGCTATGTTAAAAATTCGGAATTTAAAGAGGTTTTCTAGTTTTTTTTTTTATGTGTAACAGGACCATTCATGGCTTCCATTTGCATCATTCCAATTTTCAATCAGATGTCTGTGGTTCCTGGTTCCTGCAATTATAGCTTAAGCGTTTATGACATCACTATTGCCTAAGCTGCTAATAATATCTAATGCAAAAGCTACATCATAAAACACTTAGTTTTAGTGGAATTGCAGGAACCACAGACATCTGATTGAAAATTAGAATGGTGTAAATTGATGCTATCAGTGTCCCTGATATACATAAAAAATTTAGAAAACCTCTTTACAAACCCTTTAAGCTTAAACTTACAGATGACATCTCAAAAGCTGTTTATTTTCAACTTTGGTTTTCCAATTTTGAGAGTTCACATGATTCATAAGGTATATTTATCTCCACCAGTGCTGTTGTGGCATTGGAAGAATTCGAATCAGTATTGACAACCCATTTTTCGGTACCAAAATTTTCCGAGAATATCCTGCGAATCCAAGTTTGACGGCACAAAAGACTGTCTGACGCAATGTTTATTTTTGCATGCCATTTACGCTTGACTTTTTGTTTTTTCTTTTTTTCCCTCCTCCTCCTTCGTTTGATTGGCACTGATAACAATCCCAGAAAGCAAAAGTATTTCCATCATGGTCGACTAGATTGGGACCCAAAAAGCAAAGCTGGTAGATATGTCCGAGATGAAACTAAACCACTTTCGGTAAGCTTGTACCCTACTTTATACCAATATCTCCCTAAAGGGGTCTTTCACAGATGTGCCTTTATCGTAGACAAATGTGTTGTAAGACTCTCATTTTGAAATGTGATTCAAATACATCAGGAAAATTTTACCAGGTAAACCTCAATACTTCCCTGTAACTAATCAGCGAGCAGACGACAATTCCAATGTGCTATTTCCCTGCCACAAAAAAGTTCCAAGCCAGCCTTATCAAATTAGACCAAACTTTCGTCTTGTATTAGCTTTTTTTTTAAATTGGGCACTTCAGTTAGGGTCTAATGACAGCCCTCTTGAACGTTTATCAAATTAACCTTTTAACCTAACCTGATGACCTCTGTTTTAACCAATCAAATTCCTTCACTCTCACAATATCCCAGGGCAAATTTGATTGGTTAAAGCAAACGTCATCGAGTTAGGTCAAAAGGTTAATTTGACGAACAGTCAAGAGGGCTGTCTTTAGATCCTAACTGAAGTGGCTAATTTAAAAATAAAAGATAGAAA